TCAATCATTTCATAACATTCATTAAGCTTTCTTTTGAGTTTTTTAACTTTATTTCATTATTTACATTTTCATTTTTCGATGCTTCAGTATGTTTATTCATTTTTTTATTAAAGGATTCATCAGTAATTTCTTTTTTAACATTACTTTCATTTAAATTATTCATTTTTTCTTTAAAATAAATCATTTCATTAACAGTTACATTCTTTGAAATCTTTTCTTCAATAAAACAATCATTATTATTAAATGCATGGAAATTCATTTTATCAGTTACAGAAGCTTTAGTATCCATAAAAGAATATTAACTATTTGGTAGAAGAACATAAGAATAACCAAATGTTCTGTCATTAAGATTAATACATTCATATTTGTTTAATTCATTTAATTCATTAATTTTATCAGAATAATAATCATTTTCAACATTTTTAAAATACATTTTTTTCTTCATTTTCTTCAGATAAAGGATGTTAAACTCATTCAGAAATTTGATTCTTATTTTAATAACTTTTTCTAGTCAACATGTTTGTTGCAAAAATGAATTTTGAGAATCTATTTTCTAAATTGAATATAAGAATAGTTTCATGATTTTCTAAACATAGATAAATTAGTAATATCAAATAGATGATAAAGACTATCTTATCATGTAATTCTTATCAATTTTTTTTATCTATTCTTCTTTTGGTAATTCTTATAACTACAAAGAACCAACAGACATTTATCTTTTTTTGTAATTGTATTCTTAAATTCAATATATGAATCTATTGTATAATATTAATGTAAATAAAATATATTGATGATCAAAGGTTATATTTGTGTAATGTGATAATCGATGTGACTATCAAGTGTATTAGTATACCTTATTCTATAGATAAACTGATTATGATATAATATCTTAACATACATACATATGTACATAACTTATAGTACAGAAATCTAAAAATCTCAATCTTATATAATACAAATTAGCAGGCCTACTGAAAAATTAATTGCAATCAATTTTATAATAATTTTAATTGATTGCAATTATATATACATGTAACAAAATTAATTGAAACCCAATTAATGATGAAATAATTGTAATTAATTGCAATTAAATTTAATTTTCACTATACTTTTGTATACAATATATTGTGTAATATGATTTTTTGAGTATTTTATATCACATACTGTAATTGTATAAATAATACTTTAAATTAATTAAATTGTTTGTTATACATTGTTGTGCTAAACTAAAAATTAATAATATTGATATAACAAGAGTTAGTTAATCTGTATAAAACATGCATCTGAATTCATTTTATTTGGTTTTAGTAAAACCTATTATTTAATTTGGTTAACATCTTGAATGAACTATATTTTGTCATTCATTCTTAAAAGCAAAAGATTTTCCAAAGTATACAGATCAAAAGACTTTTTCCAATTCATATAATAGTATTTAATAATTGAAAACAACCATTCTACAGCATTGGATGTGAGAGGTACAATATTTATATCCAAGTATTTTAATTTATCTAGTTTGCGTTTTTTTGCAACTTATTCTTTTATAGTCATGGGTTCTTCTATTACTGGATGTATATTTTGTTTTATAATAAATACTTAAAGCTTTTGTTTCTTAGTAAATGTCAATATAGCTTCTTGCTTGCATAAGACTTTAATCACAGCTATCTCAAAAAGAGGATCATGGATAATTAATGCATTTTTTTCTAATCTATTTTTCAATTCTGGACATTCTTCAATCAACAAATCAAAATAAGTATACACATTATCAAGATTCATAGATTTATTTTGCAAATCATTGGTTGCTTCAGAAAAGTATTTGAAATGATTAATAAAATCATCAACTTCTTTTAAATTTAATTATTCTATTAATAAAATTTCCTAACCTAAAAAAAAAAAAATACTGTATATCTGTGAAATAATACAATAATGCACAAGTGGATATTTCGAATTTTGGCCTAAATTCAGGCTAAAATTCGAAATATTGCCTCTGCATATTATTTTACAGATATATAATAAATAAAAATAAAAATTAAATATAAAAAAAAATTATAAAAAATTATTAAATATATATATATATATATATATATATATATATATATCTAAAAATCCATTAGCTTGAGTAATATAAAGAATAAGTTCTTTACATCATTCAACTATTTTTAACACTCATTCAATGGATTGCATTATCTAATTTAGGTCCCAAAGATGTTACTTTTGCAAGTTTTCTATGATTTTTCTAAGATCTTATCATAATTACAATTGCACAGATTTGATCTACAAGAGCAGATGAAAAACTAATAAGATTATTTACTGCTAAATTCAAATGATGTGATGCATATCCTATAAGTGAAAGATCCAAATTAATGGCTATTTTTTTATTAGTAATGCAATTATCTCCTAAAACAAATAGGATGTTATTAACACTCTTATCATATAATTCTAAAACATTTTCAAAAAACTTGATATGTGCATCTGCACTCTGAATAGTGTAATTTTCAAATGGAGAAAATGCTAATAAAACTAACTTTCTTGCTTTATGCACAGTTTAATAAACACCAAACAATTCCACAAAATGAATTCTATTACTCGTCCATCCATCAAATATAATCCCTAATTTTTCAGATAAAGTATTTTTGATTCCCTCTCACACAAGATCTGTTATGCCATTAAAATACTTGCTAATTGTAGAAACATCCACTTTTGAAAGACCTGTATGTATGATAAAATCACAATTTTCATATGCATTAAAAGGTATTTGACATTTTACAATAAGGCTTAGCCAGTTAAAAATGTTATGCATGCTTGTGCTATAACTAGAAATATCAATGCTTGCCATTGAAGAGATATTAGATTCAGTATATTGCTGATAAATTAACTTAAAATTTTCATGTTTTGCATCTAGATGATGCATTAGGTTTGTATAACTGGATCCTTTTTTTTTGAGTTTTTAATTGTAATCTAGAAGGACACAAATTATATTGACACTTGATATCATTTGTAAAGCTAAAAAAAGCATCAATATAAACCTTGTTTGAAATTTTTGTATTCATTGAAACCAATATAATAATGAGAGAACTGTATTTTGTTGTGTATATTTTTAAAAGCTTTGAAATTTTTTATGTAATATAAATTTAATTACTGTACTGTCTCAAAAATAATGCCTCACTGCATTATCTTGAGACAATGAATAAATTAATAAAATTCATCTTTAACAGCACATATGTATATAACATATTAATTATATAATTTTACAAAAATTGCAATTAATTGACTAATTGTGGCTGCACTATCGATTAATTAATTGAGCTCGAAAAATTGCAATTAATTGCCCCTACAATCAATTATTTGGTAGGCCTGCAAATTAGCACAGACATATGTACATATGTATAAACTAAAGCATTCTAAACCTTAATATAAAAAGAAGATATTATTAATACCCTAATTATAAAAAAGAAAGAGTATTTATAAAAATTGAATACAACCTATACATACTATAAAAACTTAATTTTCGCAATCTGTAATACTATAAAATAATACTTTGCTAACTTAGTTTTTTTACAATATAGATATAACACCTAAAGTTATTGATCTTAATAAAGTTCAAAAATCTAGAATTCTCAACCTTTATATAAATAATATTCTAATAACAATTGAACTTAATGTTATATGTCATTGAAAACTTGATATTAAGATGATAAATTTAATTTGTTTTTAATAAGTTAACTATCTTTATTCTGATTAAAGTTTTAGATTATACAATGTTTAGTATAATAAAATTTTAAGTGTAATTTAGCAATATTATTGATACAAAAAATATAACATTTATTATTTTTAAAACTAAATTAGACTAGTATATATAAAATAAATAAACAAAATCTAATTATTGAACAAAATAATGTTTTTAGCTTACTATAGTATTACAATAAAATACATGACTTATCATTATTTTTCTTTACAACTTCTTTAATTATGACCTAAGCCATTACAAATATCACATTAGAATTTCTATTTTTTATTTTTTTTTGGTAATTCATATGTGTATTATTTTTTATTTGTTTCTTTTAGTCTTTTTTTTTCTTTGCATTTATAAGGATTTACTAAATCTTTGACACTAAAATTTTCTTTATCTAATTTGTTACAACTTTCTTTATTATTATTCACATCAGACTTTTCTACTTATTGCTCTTTTAAATATTTATTTAAAATTTTAATAAGATTGTTGTCATGATTTTTAATTGCCAAAAGTGTAGCTGCTTGTGTCTTTTTTCATGTTTCATTATATAACTGATGCTTCTCAATAAATTCTTTTTTGACATCTTGTATCATATTTGAATAATCTTTATTTAGTATATTAAAATAACTTATATTTATATTAAGCTAATTACTTAAATTAATATCTTTCTCAAATTTTGAGGTGACTATAAAAGATTCACATAATTAATCACTATGTGTCTCTTTATACCAATGAGAATATATCATTTAAATATGAATTGCTGTTATATCTATATACAACATAAATTAGAAAAAAAGATAGTAAAGAAATCTATAGTTACAATGACCAAAGCATGTACACAAATGAAGCTTATTATTCAAAAAAATAACAAAGTACTGTGTATTTTTTTCTGTAATACTGTATGTTGCATAGATTATATTTCTATAATATTACTGATATCAACAAGATTAAATGAAGTCTTTGCAATAATAATGGTAAGGTTTTTATTATTGAACAAGTTAGAATCATTAAGATTAATCTATGCATATAACAAAACATTAGCCAATTTTATTTAATTAATTGTAAATAAACATATGTATTATAAATTTTTGAAATAATGCCTATACCTATTATTTCAAGAATTTTATGATATTATATATTACTTACTAAGTTATAAATATTCAATTCATTTTTACTAACACAGCTTGCATAATAATGAAGAGCTTAAATTATTTGATTTTCTTGAATTTTTTATGTCTCTTCTGTTAAATACTTTTTTAATAATTGATAAATGTTTGATAGTACAGTTTCTGTAATTGAAAATAAAGTAACTCTGAGACTAAGACATAAAAAAGAGAATATTCTGTTTTTATATCTTTTTTATATATACATGTTGACAACATATCTGCAAGCCTCAAAAGTGTTGTATTTGTATTAAAAATTAAGTACTTTATTGTTGCATTGTAGCTTTCCACTTGGGAAGTTGAAGACATCTCAGCTGTAAATGAAGTTAAGATGAAAGCTTTTGCTCAAGTTTCTTTACTTAAATAAAGAATACATTGTAAATAACTAACAATCTTATTATTACTATATTTGTTAACCAACTGTGTCTATTTATATTCAAATATAACCTCAATAGTGATTTTTGAATTTCATAAAGATTCTGAATAAATTTATTATATTGATTTCCAAAAAAGTTTTTATAATTTGAAAATAGATTTTAAAAGATATAAAATATACAATGAAATGATTTTGTTGTAAGAAACTTATCATGAATTGCTGCAGAAACAGCTGGATTTGCATTAGTAAAAATTATATGTGGAACAGCATTACATGTGGCATTCTTTATATTCTGAAAAATTCAGCTATAAGATTCCATAGTTTCATCATTTATGAGTACTTGCACTATCATATATAAGTGTAAATAATTGTTAATAATTAAAAAAATTAATAGTATTATTTCATAATGATTTGTTGCTGCTATGCAATTATTAAGAACAATATCAATAAATTTTAATCAGAGTTTAATCTGCTCAGGTAACATACTGTATAAAATAACTGGCAAAGACACTTAGTATTAGAATCTTAGTCTATTGCCACATATTAATATAGATTTTTATCTTTTTTTTTTAACAATTTCTCATACAAGCTAGCTGTATTATTAGTTTGATTATGTAACATTGGACAAAAGTGCTGTATTTCTTATTATAGCATAGGCATGAAAATTGTATACTTTGAATAACTTTCTTCTAAGTCTTACAGATCTGTTGGGGACTGCAATTCATCTTTTTCATATAAAATTTGATATCTTTAAGCATTTTTTCACTAAATTTAAGAGATTATTAAAAGATACAGTATGATGAGTTAAGCTCATGATTTTTATGCTTATTAACTATTTTTGTAATATAAATAAGCCTATGCAGATTTTTTTTTTAAACAAGAAATATTTATTTGCCAAATACATCCTATATGTTTAGATGTAGTTTTATTTTATGAGTTCTTACTTTTCATTTATTTAGAACAACCAAAATGTTCACATACTATTATGTGTTGCTGAACATTATTATTTTCTAATTTTTTTTACATGAAGATATCTAGTTCAAATCCTTTATTAAAAATGCAAAAAAAAATTTGTTATTGTTACTTTATGCTTTATATTGAATTATTTAAGTAGATAATTATATTCATATCTTTATGATGTGCATATTTCTCAATTTCTTTTATAGCAATATTTCAACTATTAAAAACCTTTTATATTTCATAATCATTATTTATATCTTTAGTAATGTTTTTTTCAGATTCATAATTACAATATTTATCCATATTATCATATTTATTTCTACTGTTACTGTTATGTTCATTCATACTATTATGTTCATTTATATTATTATATTTGTTCATATTATTATGTTTATTTATACTATCATGTTTGTTTAAACTACTATATTTGTGCCTATTACCAAATTTGTGCCCAATACTATATTCATGCTTACTACCATATTCACTTCCAATACTATATTCATGCTTACTATCATATTCATGCTCAATATTATATTCATACCTACTATTATTTTCATGCTCACTACTATATTTATGCATGATGCCATATTCATGACTAATATCATATTTATGATTACTATTATATCAATATTTATTCTCAATAGTGTATTTGTTTCCAATACTGTGTTTATTTCTAACACCATATTCATATCCAAAACTATTTTATATTCTCTATCATATTCATGCCTATTATTGAGTTTGTTATTATTAATTATAATATTAAAAACTATTGCTTTATTACTACAAATTATCTTGATATGTTTATAAGATTAAACAATACTAACATAATGCTTTATTTAGGTTTTTTGTTTTTCTATTTTCTAACCTTTCTTATTAATGTTTTTTATACTTTACAAGTAACCTTTATTAGGTAATTATTATAAGTAAACAAAACTGATCAATGTTCTTTATTTGTATATAAACAAGACAAATAGTTTGTTGTTTTACTTTTACATGCACAGTCTAAATAAATCAATAAAGTTTTATTTGATGTTTGTTTGTTTTTAAAAGAAGAAAAATTAATTACATTTACAATTCAACCTCTATTTATTTACTCTAATTATTATGTGATAGCTATTATATACAAATTACCAATATATTAGTAAAAAAGACTATTAGTACAGTATTATGGTCTTAATTAAATAATATAAATTTTTTATATAATATAATATATTTAGTATACATAGTGCCATAACATTATAGTGCTATGAAAGTATTTTCATATTAAATTATATATTATATTATTATTTATATTTAATTTTTATTTTTATTAATTTTTTTTTTGTATTAAACTAGCTTTTTATTCAGTATAGTTAGGATATAGGAACTTATAGCCAAGGCCTCAAAAGAGTCTTTTTATATTAGAGAGTACAACTAGTTACATATATACTTTTGGTGTTTAATTAAGTAGTCTACTGATGATTCTACACTAGCTACTATACCTGCAACCCAACTAGAGGTGTTGCCTATTTAAACTTTCTGTACTGCAACCTTACTGTATTACTAGATCATCTCTACTATATAAGTTAGTCGAGAAGGTTTAGATGCTTATTCATATCCTTAGGACTCCATACCTTATTTCATGCAGTGTATTCTTAGAAGCATCATTACTAGAGCCTTCTGTGTCCCACACATAGCTAACTTAGTTTTATATACCACACTATAGTTATCTAACACTTGCAGTCAGAGCTAATCTTAAACTGCTATATTACATTATTTCTATTCTTGTAAAGTTCACTCAAACCCTGGTACCTATCTTTCTGATATTTTTTCTATTATTTTCTACTAACCACAACTCAGAACTGTCAGTTTTATTCCAGACTACCAATCCAGATAGCCCAGTATGGTATATCTTAGTATTCTTTTTCTCTGATAAATCTGGCAGCCTGGTTGGTCTGTGCTTCTCTATACATCTTGATATCTGGTTTTAATTCTCAGTTTCTATGAAGGTGTTTATGAACTTCCATTGGTCTGACAGAACTGTCGAAAGTTTGTGCTACCTTTTTACTTAGGAATTTTCAAGTAGGATTCTGTCTTCTTGGTTCCTTAGTCTTCTACACCTGGTGGTCTTATCATAGGTTTGTACTGAAATCTTATTCAACACCAGTTATTAATATTTCTTTATATACATGCAACATTACATTTTACATAAATGCCCCAAGCTTCTAATGTTAGTAAGACCTAATCTGGTATATCTGGATTATAGCCACATGAGGCCAACTGATCAATAGAAGACAGTTTCTATAACACAGATATAATTTTCAAATTTTGTTATAAGTGGGATTTGAACCTTAGATCTGCTACTTGGAGAATGACAACCCAACTACTACACTAGGATTGCCATTCTCATATTTAATTTTTATATATATTATATTGTATTATATTAATTATAATTTTATAAATAAACAAGAATAAAGAAAAATGTTGATATTAAACAATTGATTTTATACACAGTATGAAATCAATTATATAACATTAATGTTTCCTTCTATTGAATAAAAATACATTAAGGAAGTTGAATTTATAAAGCATAGTTATATTAATGAGCAGAAAAGTAGTTAAATTTGTATGATTTTTATTAAAGTAGATAGTGATTACAGTCTGAATATGTAGATAATTTTAATAATATTATATATATCATAAGTGAAAATAGAATTAAAGTAGATTTGGAATTTTTTATTTAAATTCAGATTAGAATTAGGATGTATATATAACAAAATCAGTCTCAAAATATAGATTTTATATAAAAATTCTAAATTTATTTAAATTTTGTTTTTACCTACAATATATATAAATGCTAATAAGTAATCTTGTAAATTAGCTAATCAAATTACAAAAAATTGTTGAGATGAAATAAACATGTTACAAGATGAGATAAAAGTATTAATTAATCTGTTATACTTACTGCATTTTATAGAAAATTAAGTTACTCAAGCTTTCTAATAAGTGTATTTTATTATTATTATTTTTTTTTTTTTTTTTTTTTTAACCTTAGGCAGTTACGCTAGTACTTTATTAAGATTCTAGAAACTATAAAATTACATAGAAATTCCTAATATCTAAGTCCAGCATTACCCGGCCACCTTTATGGTACCTAAGTGCAACCTGCTATACTATCTTTGTTAAAGATAGACTGCTCGTCGAGCTACTTAAAGCTATACCAGAAAAGTCTTCTTCTTTCCGTGACAAGCATGTTCAATATCTTCAAAGCTTCTTTTTTCATTCAGTCTGCCCCTTCTATTTCTTTTCTTTTTTATATGAACGAAGCACAAACACAAAATCTAAGGAGAGTGAAAAAAGGGTAATATCTATCATCCAAAATACGATCCTTCCGCAACAAGAAAACCAAAAAACAAAACATCAAAAGAGAAAAAAAAATAAAAAAAAAACAATAAAAAAGAAAAATAAAACAAAACGGAAAAACAAAAAAGAAACAAATGAATACGAATAGCACTATTAAGTCTGTGCAATGACTATAAAAATTATATAGTACT